TTTCCTATATCAAAAATGCCACAAGTTTCATTAGTTAGGAATACGCTTCAAATACAGCCATTGGACTGTAATATTCAGCATGGTACCTAGTGGCCACATGTGTCTCTTGATCGGGTGACATGTGGCTAGTCCAAACTGAGACGTACTGTGCTGTGTACTGAACTATTCTCCCAAAATTCTTATGTTGAAGCCCTAACCCCCAGCATGACTGTACTTGGAGATAGGACTTTTAGGAGGCAGTTAAGCTTAAATGAGATCATGAGGTTGGGGTCCTAATCTGATAGGGCTTGTGGCCTTATAAGAAGAAATGAGAGAGAGATCGCTTTCTCTCTGCACACGTGCACCGAGGAACACGGTGAGGACACAGGGAGTAGGTGGCTGTCTACAAGCCATGAAGAGAGCCCACACCAGAATCTAACCATGCTGGCACCCTCATCGTGGACTTCTAGCCTCCAGAACTATGAGAAAATAAATTTCCGTTGTTTAAGCCACTCAGTCTATGGTATTTTTTTGTGGCAGGCCAAGCTGACTAGGACATATTATAAGGGTGATACAAACACTTGGAGTGACGTCAGTGGGAATGAAGAAGACCCTCTGAAAACCCACTCTTTCATAAAAGCAACAAGAACATGGGCAGAAATAGTCAAATCCAACTTTTTCAGATCTCTGTAAATTAACCAAAGTTTTGCAACAATCCAAAGAGGATTTACTCAAGAAAAATGGCTGAATCCTAGCAAGAACAGTGAGCTCTGCAGGCATTCTAAATTGCCCTATTCCCATCCCCAGCAACATAGAAGGTTCTCTCATTTCCACTCCCTGTCAGAACCCCCCACCAAAAATAGCCCCTACCCTGACTTCTAACACCACAGATTAAGTTCGCCTGTTTGGGAAGATCATATAAACTGAATCATATAGTATGTACTCTTTTATATCTGACTTCTTTTGTTCAACATTATCTTTGTGAGATTCATCCATATTATTACAGGTATAGTTTGTTGGTTTTCATTCTCTCTAGCATTCCAAGTTAATGGAATATACCAAAATATATTTAGTTATTCTGTTGTTGAGTGTAGGCTCGTTTCCAGTGTTTAAGTATTACAATTAGTTCTGAGTTTAATTATTACAAAGCTGTTCTGAGCATTCTTCCATATGCCTTTTGTCGGACATGAGCACTCGTTTCTATTGTACATATATCTGGGAGTGGAACTGCTGGACCACAGGATAGGCGTATCTTTAACTTTAGAAGAAATCGTCAATTTTCTAAAGAAGTAGTATCAGTTTATCCTACCATCAATATAAGGGAGTTTCAGTTGTTCCACACCTTCTTCAACACTTGGAATTGTCCAGTCTTTAAAAATTTCAGCTATTCTGGTGGATAGATGTGTGGTATAAGCTCACCATGGTTTTAACTAACATTTTCCTGATGATTAATGACACTGAGAACCTTTCATATGTTAACTGCTATTTGCATTGCATACTAAAGTGTCTGTTCAAGTCCTCTGCCAAATTTTAAATCGATTCGTCTGTCTTTCTCTTACTGATCTGTACTAGTCCTTTGCCAGGTGTACATACTGAAAGCATCTTCTCCCAGTCTGTGGCTTGCATTTTCACTCTCAGTGGTGTCTTCTGATGAAGAGAAGTTCTTCATTCTAATGAAGTCCAATTTATCTGTCTTTTATGGTTAGCAATTTTAGTGTCTTATTTAAGAAATATTTGCACATCCCAAAATTATGAAGATACTCTTCTATGCTTTTTTGCACAAGTTTTATTGTTTTATCTTTCACCTTTAGGTCTATGATATATCTCAAGTTAATTTTTGTGTCCGATGTGTGGTAGGTGTCACGGGTCATGTTTTTTCCCTTATGGATGTGCAATTGCCCAAGCACCGATTATTGAAAGGACCATCCTTTCCTCCACTGAATTACATTACTGCATACATTGTCTACTGTACATTGAATTATAGATGCAGGTCTGTTTCTGGACTTTCTATTCAAGTGGCCTGTCTATCATTGCACCAGTAACAGCTGCTTGATTAGAACAGCTTTATAGTAAGTCTCACTCTTTGCTAGGGTAAATCCTTCAACATTTTTTCTGCTTTAGAATTGCCTTGGATATTTTAATTCCTTTGCATTTCCATATAAGACTTACAATCAGCTTGTCAATTTAAACAAAAAATTGATGGGATTTTGACTGAGATTGCACCGAATCTATAGATCAACTTGAGGAAAACTGAACATGATATGGTTTTCCATTTGTTTAGTCCTTCTTCAAATTTATTCAGTAATGTTTTGAAGTTTTAAACATCTTTTAACAAGATTTATTCCTAAATATTTGTTTTTGATACTATTATAATTGGTATCATAATTTTTAAATTTTCATTGTCACTTGTTTTTTTGCTAGTATATTGAAATTTTTTCATTTATTGACTTTGTATCCAGCAAACTTGCTAAATTCACTGACTTGTACAAAAATGTAATCAAGTCATCTGCACATAAGTTTTATTACTCCTTTTTTGCTCTTATGCATTTTATTTCTTTTCTCTGCTTTGTTGCATTGGCTGTATGTATTCCTTTGCCTTGCCTTTTTTTGTTCAACATTATGTTTGTAAGATTCATTCATGTTGTTGCATGTTGCCGTAGTTTATTCCTTTTCTTTACTGGTTAATGTGCCATTGGCTAATGGCACCACAGGTGATTTCTAGACAACCTTTTCACTCAGTCCAAATCATAACTAGCAAAGTGCGTTAACATCTAGGACAAAAAGAACATTATGGGCTGGCAATTTTACAGGGACTTTCTATAAGACATTTTCACCTAGAACTTGATAACATTACAATAAAATATATGAATGGAAATGTGTCAATATAGAACCAAGTAAATAAATTACTGAGAAGTGTGTTTTGTCTATCCTTTTACCAATTATAAAGAGTCTAGAATCCAATTTTGAAATCCAAGTGTATGCATAAAAAGAAAATACACCAAATAAACAGAAACAATATTGTTCTTCTATATGCTTTTCTGAATTTTCCTGGGACATGGACAGGGAACAGGGGCAGATATGGGAGAAGCTGAGGAAAGAAGTAAGGAGGCAAGGTGCCATTGCGCTGTGGGAGCCTGCTGGAGGCACGCAGTGGGTCACCTCTACAATGAACACGTATATATGTTATAATCAGTTAAAAAACAATAAATACATTTTAGATTTTTTAAATTGCATTGAACTTCTTTCCATCAGCATGGAGTGGCTCTGAGGAGACTGTTCTCTAAATGTCTTCTGGTTCTCTAGTTCTAACTAATAACTTTCTTTTTCCTTTGTACCCTCCATGATATTGAACCCTCCATGATATTTATGTAGTAAGAATCACACTCAAGACAGATAGAGTGACGAAAGTTTTGCTCACTTGGCTTCCAAGAAACTGTAGATGGAATTTTATGAGTGGTCTTCAGTGCTAAAAGAGTTACAGATCCAAAGACTGATACATACACTGTCTTTTTGGCAATAAACAAATTTCACTGAGTGTACACCAATGACATGAGTGGTTGTACAGGGTACACAGTTGTGTCTAACATTCCATGAGAATGGGGCTCACAAACTAGGTAGGAAGCCAAAACAAAAATATACGAAAGGTTTAATTTCCACTGAAGGTTACTGGGTTATATACTTACTATGGGAATGAAATCTGAATTTGCTACCCTGAGAAGGCAGGGGTCTTGAGAGAGAGCAACCATCCTTTCTTCTTGAACACATTCATTCATTCATTCATTCACTTGAATGCTTGCTAAGTGTTAAGGCTTAGAGATACAAAAATGCATAACGTTTGGCCTGCTCTCTTAAGAGTTTACAATCCTAAGGTCTGGCCCCGTGGCTAAGTGGTTAAGTTTGCACACTCTGCTGCAAGTGGCCCAGTGTTTCACTGGTTCAAATCCTGGGCACGGACATGGCACTGCTCCTCAAACCATGCTGAGGCAGCGTCCCACATGCCACAACTAGAAGGACCCACAACAAAGAATATACAACTATGTACTGGGGGGCTTTGGGGAGAAAAAGGAAAAAATAAAATCTTTTTTAAAAAAAGTTTATAACCCTAAAACCTTAAATCTAAAGTTTTAAAATCATCCACCTTCTGGAGGAAAGTAGTTAATTGAATAAAGGCAATATGTAACTCTAAAATAAATTATGATTATCTAATAAAGATATGCCGTCAGCCTCTATATCTGTTCGTGCTACACCCAAGATCTTACACAGAGCAATGGAGGTGCACAGCCCCGCGCTCGGAAAACTAACTAGACCACAAATAACTAAAGAAACCCGCCACGCGTGGGGAAACAGCCTTCAGTAAGGAAGCTGCTCCTAAACCTTCAGTCTATGTTGGAATAATGACTTAAGGACTCAACCGCACACGAGCAAATGGAGCTGTGCAATACAAACTTAATTACATCGGATGCGTATTTAGGAAGTCTGCTTTTTAGTATCTGTAGGAGATTTTCTCTTAATTTGTTTTAACATCACTCACTGTGAGCTTCCAATGACCTCTGTTTAAAAAATTGAGGGGGAGAGAGTGCCTGCGGGGGCTGGGAGGACAGACAAGCTATTTCTCCGAAGGAGTACAGACGTCCTCCGTATAGGAGGATGTTTCTTAGCTATACCGATTTTATGGACTCTTTCGCAGACTACTCCTATTCAAGTCAGAATCCGCCCACGGGGCACCAAGGGCGGCGCTGTTACACAAACACACAGGTCGGCGTGCGTGAACGAATCCATACATCCGAATTCCCTCAAGAGCAGCGCCTTGACTGTAGCTGGCAATCCCTATAGGCTGGCTCTACGTGCACTGGATGCACAGATGAATAAATGAATCCGTGTTCGTCCTTTTAAGTAGAACTATGTCACACATCACAAAAGAACGAGCGCCTAGGCTACTTCGGAAGGGAAGTGGGGGACCGCGACCCGCGGGAGGCGGGAACAGGGGGCGGGGGCGGGGGCGGGGGCGGCCGGGGGCTCACCTTCACGCGCTCGTAGTAGCTCCCGGTGTGCAGCAGCGCGACCCCTCTGAACTCGGACTCGCGGCGCTGCAGCCTCTGCAGCAGGTGGTCCACCACCCTGTTCACCACCTCCGCCGCCGCCGAGACCTCCTGGCGGCTCAGCCTCAGCTTCTCCAGCACCGCCCGAGGCTCCCAGGCGCCGGGCGGCGCTCCCCTCCGGCCAAGACTCGGGGCTGGGACCAGCGCGCCGACGCCGCCGAGCTCCGCGGGCCCGGGCTGGGGCCTCGCCGTCTCCGCGGAGCGCGCGCCCCGCTCGCGGCGAGAGCCTGCCCTGGAAAGGGCCGGCCCCTCCGCCGGACCCGCCGGACCCGCCGCGCTCGACGGCTCCTGCCCGGCGCGGGCGCTCTGCGCGCGGCGCGGCGGCCTCTCCCGCGGGCCCGGCGCGCTCTTCTTCCGCAGGGAGCCCGGCGCCCTGGCGGGCTCGCCGCTCTGCGCGCGGGGCCGGGCGGCCGCGGGGACGGCGGGGCACACGTCGGGCTCCGTCAGCGCGCCCCTCCCGCCCTGCGCCGAAGCCTTGGGCGCCGCGGCCCCCGCCTTGGGAGCGGTGCGCGCCGCCGGCCCGCGCCGAGGGTCCATGGCCGGCGCCCCTGGACCTCCGAGAGCAGCCTGGGCTCCGACAGGCCTGCGGGCAGGAGCCGGCGGGCGCGGCGGGAAACGAAAGTGACGAGCCTGGCGGGAGTGACGCCTCGAGGGCCCCGCCCCGGCCCGCCCGCCGCGAGGGGCGCGCGCCGCACCCCGCGAGCCCGAGGGAGGCGAGGTGCGCTCGGCAGCCTGGAGAGCCGGACGCATTTGCTGGCGCACCGCCTAAGATGGTTTTGGACAACCACGAACCTTCTCGCACATTGAAGTTGACAGAGAAACTTCTTCAATGGAAGTTTAAATAAAGGTTATTTTTTTAATTAATGGGAAATTGAAAATGTTCAACTTTTACAAGATGGAATGAAATGAGGATTGATTGCCATTGGAATAAATATTTCATTTTATTTGCCTTTTTAAAAGCACACGTAATCTTCAGTTGTGTAGAGTTCTTACCCGCGAGATGTATCCATTAGTGTTAAAAGGCCATCAAAGAGTGGCGCTCACATTTGTAGTAACTCATGCTGCTTTGGCCGCTGCGATTTCAGAGTATCTCGACAGGGGCTTTCAAATATATATTTCTAAAGCCAAGCCCTTTACAGAAATACCTATTAGACAGGAACGCCCTGGGTTTAGAATGCCCTGGTTACTTTTTTTCTTTTTTTGCTATCCTAACCATTTTTAAGTATACAGTTCAGTGATATTAAATACATTAAGATAGTTGTGCTACCATCGCCACCATCCGTCTCCAGAACTCTTCATCTTGCAAAACTGAAACTCACCCATTAAACAATGTCTCCATTCCCACCTCTCCCCAGCCCCTGGCAACCAACATTCTACTTTCCGTCTCTACGAATCTGACTGCTCTAGGGGCCTCATGTCAGTGGAGTCATACAGCATTTGTCCTTATGTGACTGGCCTATTTACTTCGTGTAATGTCCTCGAGGTTCATCCATGTTGTAGCGTGTGTCAGTCTTCCTGTTTCAGGCTGAATAATCCCACCGTATACATACACCACATTTTGTTTGATTACTTTTTTAAAAGGTTTCCCTGAAACTTGATACATCCTTCTCTTTGATACAAAGAGGTTTTTTTACACCCCAGGGCAATGAGCCCTAGTTTGAACTGTGATTGGAGAGAGACATATTTTTCTTTCGTAAAAGGGAAGGAGGACTATTGTGTAATCAGGTTTCTTCTTAAGCAGACCAATTTCAGGGAATAGTAAAATGGAAGTTGAAAGGTGGAAATCCATTTCCTTCAAATTGCAAGTGCACTTGGGCAGTCTCCCAGGATGCCCAGGGGTATGCTCACCCCATTCTGAAGACCTCTGCTCTATGGTCCTATTATTTTCCTGCAAGGGCTCCAACTGCTTGTCTTGGAATCCTGTAAATGACTCCACAGCCAGCTGAATGCTGTCTTCCAGCCAAAGTCTTCTAAAGTCCACCAGTGTTTGCTTAACCAAAAACGCGCAAGCAACAATCCGCTGGACCAGGATCAAATGCCTCTGCTGCTGATCTGTCAAAGCAGGAAAACTTGTTCCTTCCTCAATCTTGTCCGGCAACCAGTGTCCAGATAATAGAGGGAATGACTTCTTAGTTGAGTCTTAATATGGATCTGGGACTTTATCATAGGAAAAACCAGGAGGTTTGTTTGTGGGTATATATTTTACCTAGTTGTTTTTGCACCTTATCTTTTATATCTCATGTTTGTGTCAGCAATTCACTTAACAAATATTTGAGTGCCTACTATGTGCCAGGCTCTATTCTAAGCTCTTGGGATATATTGATAAACAAAGATCCTTGCCCTCCTGGAGCTGACATTCTGGCACGGAGAAACAGACAGTAAACATAATACATAAATTATCTTACATAGTAGAAGATAATAAGCTGTACTGAAAAAGGAAAAAACAGTGGAAGAGGGATCAGGAATGAGGAATGGTAGAATACTAAAATACTGAGAGAGTGACCTTTGAGCAAAGATTCAAAGGAGGGGATATCCACAGGAAGAGTGTTTCAAGCAGAAAGAAAAGCTAATACAAGGGTCTAAGGTGGCACTATGCCTAGTAGTTCAAACAACAGCAAGTGTGGCTGGAGCTTGCGATGTTAGAGATGATGTGTCAGTTATCAACTTATTGCCTCTCAGCTCCAAATATGCCCTTCAATATATGCTCTCTGATAAACAATAGAATTCCTTAAAACAATGTAATTCTCTTTTAAAGTGCCCACTACATTAGGTTTTCTCAGTAGAGGTTCTGGAGGAACGCTGCAGAGGGAAGAGGTTTCCTGCAATTTCCAGCATAGTGGGAAAAGTGGAAGGAGGCTGACGGGGGAAAGGTCACTTTATGGGTGTAAGAGCATCTGAAAGAGCCTATCCCAGCTACAGGCCCAGAAAGTGGTCCCTCTGGGACCTTGCAACCATGGCCTGGCCATAACCTGTCTACAGCTTACTGGACAGAGAAACTAAGATTCCTGCCTGGCCTACATATAGCTGCATGGGGTCCTGAGGGTCCTGAGGGTCACACACAAGGCAGCTGACCCTTCTGCAAGCCCTGTCTGTAGGACAAGGACTGAGAATATTCATTTCTGTAAATCCAACCTTTCTTCAAAATGGTAGTAAAATCGACTAATTTGTAGTTGACCTTCTTTCTCCTCTGATGCTTGTCCCCTGCCTGAACTGCCTGTGAAACGATATGCCTCTCAGAAACAGAGATTTGACTTCCTACTTTTCTCCTTACTCAACAACTGGTAGAAACTAGTAACTTGAAATTAAGTATAGAAGGAAAAGAAATTTAGTAACAACTAAATTATCTGTTCTTTAAATTTTTTTATAATGCCCCCAAATTCCTGGTGACATGTACTTTATTATTCTTCCAAATTCTCTTTTCTGTAATCATGGTAGTAAAAGAAGGCTTTTACAATCCAGGGCCCTTGAGACTGTGTTTCCAGGTGTCCTGTAATTTTGGTAGATCATTTCTTAACAGAAAAATCAAGCCTGAGGTAAAGATTAAGAATATAAAACAGTCCAACTTAAGACCAGTTATTATTACCTTGACTCTTAAAAAGGGTGTGCAGTAAAGGGTTAACTTAGCACGTTTATGGTGTTCAAACTCTGCACATCCCAAAGAAACAACTGGCCTCTGATAGGCACCTGGGACATAATTTCTAAGCCCTTTGAATCTCCTGCCTGATAAAACTGTCTTTGTATATACCTGGGACTTTGGGCCATGCCAGATACTTTATACAAACAATCTGATTTATGATGAGCCCTGGGGCCATGCTGTATCAGTCTGATCTCTAGAGGGGCTGGAGACTGAGTAACTAAGGTCAGTCATGCAGGCACAGCGTTACGAGACTCCCAATAAAAGCCCTAAATACCAAGGCTTGGGCTAGCTTCCCAGGTTGGCAATACCTTGTCATTGCCAGGAAAGATAAGAACTATCTGTATGACTCCCCTGGGAGGACAACTGGAAGCTCATGCCTGGTGGCTTCTAGACTCTGCCCTATGTGTCTTTTGCCTTTGCTTAATTTAATCTGTATCCTTTCACTGTAGGTAACCACAACCATAAATAAAACAGCTTTTCTGAGTTCTGTGAGCCCTTCTAGCTTATCGTTAAACTGGAGGACAATCTTTGGGATCCCCAACACAAAGGTAAAAGGCTAACTTCATCATAAAGAAGAGCTTTACCATCTTTTACAGCAGAAATCAAGTTAATCATATACCTATCCCTGTCTAAACACCTTATCTTTGGGTCTCATTGAAAAACATGCCACATGAGAGATTAGTGAAATTGAAAATGTAGGCCTCTGGTTCCCTAATTAAAGGCTCAAGCTATTGATTTTCAAATATTTATTAAGGGATGCAGCAAAAATAGTACTAAGAGGGAACTCTATAGCAAGATAGGCCAACCTCAAGAAACAAGAAAAATCTCAAATAAACAATCTAACATAAGACCTAAAAGAACTATAAAAAGAAGAACAAGTGAAACCAAAGTTAGTACAAGGAAGGAAATAATAAAAATAAGAGCAGAAATAAATGAAATAGAGACTAAAAAGACAATAGAAAAGATCAATGAAACTAAGAGCTGCTTCTTTGAGAAGATAAACAAAATTGACAAACTCTTAGCCTGATTCACTAAGAAAAAAATAGAGAAGGCTCAAATAAATAAAATTAGAACTGAAAGTGGAGAAATTACAATGGATACCACAGAAATACAAAGGATTATAAGAGAATACTATGAAAAACTATATGGCAACAAATTGGATAACCTAGAATAAATGGATACATTCTTAGACTAATACAACCTCCCAAAACGGAATCAAGAAGAAATAGAGAATCTGAATAGACCAAGCACAAGTAAAGAGATTGAAATGGTAATCAAAAACCTCCCAAAAAACAAGAGTCCAGGACCAGACGACTTCTCTGGAGAATTCCATCAAACATTCAAAGAAGCTTATCCTTCTCAAACTATCCCAAAAAATTGAAGACGGAAAGCTTCCTAACTCATTCTACGAGGTCAAACATCACCCTGATACCAAAACCAGACAAGGACAATACAAAGAAGGAAAATTATAGGCCAGTTATCTCTAATGAACATAAATGCAAAAATCCTCAACAAAATATTGGCAAACCAAATAAAGAAAGACATTAAAAGGATCATACACCATGATCAAGTGGGACACAAGGATGGTTCAACATCCACAAATCAATCAACATGATACACCACATTAACAAAATGAGGATCAAAAACCACATGATCATCTCAATAGATGCAGAAAAAGCATCTGACAAGATTCAACATCCATTTATGATAAAAATTCTCAATAAATGGGTATAGAAGGAAAGTACCTCAACATAATAAAGGCCATATAGGACAACCCACATCAGTATCCTTCTTAATGGTCAAAAGCTGAAAGCTATCCTTCTGAGAACAGGAACAAGACAAGGGTGCTCACTCTCACCACTCTTATTCAACATAGTACTGGAGGTCTTGGCCAGAGCAATTAGGCAAGAAAAAGAAATAAAAGTATCCAAATTGGAAAGGAAGAAGTAGAACTCTCGCTGTTTGTGGATGAGATGATC